AAGTTTCATTTTCAGGCCTTTAATGCTAAAAATACTCTATTGTTACATTATAGAATGGTCTGTAGTAAATATGTCACTTTTTTTAGCTCACAAATGGTTCATGTAATGAAATATGAAACAATTTAATCTCATTTAAATATAAAATGTACAATTATTTGTATTTTGTCATAATTTAAGCTCAACTCTTAAACATTATTAGACTTTAAAAAAAAAAATAATAATAATTTAGTGAGTAAATTCACTGTAAAATCATACCAGAAGTCATTATCCAGGGATCAAGCATTGCTGTCAAAATTGCATCATGATTCTTTTGTAATGTTTAACCACATCACAGTCATCTGAGCACTAACATCACTAAAGTCCAATTTGACATCTTGAAATGAATGAAGCTCAAGACTTGCTCAGGTGAAATAATTTTCAGCAGTTTCTGCATGTCAAGTTGTTCAACTGCCGTGTTTTGGTTATGTAGCAGTTTTATGTGGCTCTCGCCGTTATTAAACATTTAAACCCATGACTGTCTTCAGATGTCAGTGTGCAGGCGGCCTGTTGATAAACAGCTGCTCGTTGTTCAGCATGCATGACTGGTTAGTAAGTGGGTCAGCAGGGGTTCAAGCACAATCCACTCAATTCAGCAAGAATCGCTGGCCTTGTGTTGTTTTCTTACTTGTCTTAAATGCTCCAGCGGTGAATCAGGTGCTAAAACAAGCAGCCATGTGTACATATTCCTTTGTGTCATTTTCAGCCATCCAGCGCAGGAGTTTTAGCACATGCTTCTTATTGAATGCATTCAGGCCACTTGTCTGAGGCTTTCTTATTGTCTGGAGTAGGCATTGTTGTTCCATGGTTATGAAACCAGTGGTGAGTTAATATAGGTGAATATCATTTAAAAAAAAAAAAAAAAAATTTTCATAAAGTGAATGAATCAGTTTAGCAACGTTAAGATCCATTGCATTATTTGATATTATTTAAATGACAGCTTAGCACATTGCACACCAAATTCTCATTTATGCAATGTATCCAGTGTCCGTTTTACTTTTAAGTTTTTTTTTTTAATTTAATTTAATTTAATTTTTTTTTGTAGTTCTCGGTGGTAGTTCTTATTATAGATTTCAAAATTAGAGTTACACAACACTGGCATTTTACAGTCCTTTGTATACTAAAAAGTTTTTAAAAAACGGATGATGGATCACACACACAAACATCTTTCAGACTCTTTAGTAAAGTCTGTTGGGAAATAAAAACGATTTGATACGCGCACACACACTATATAATATGCATTATTTACATTACAGTATGCTCTATATATGAGGGTTTTTTAGTAGTTCTCGTTCTCAGTGGTAATTCTCATTATAGAATTCTAAACACACTTTATCAAATTACAGTCCTTTTTTGCACGGTTATAAAATTGAGTTATGAAAGTAGATGATGGATAACACACACACACACACACACACTTAAAGATCTTTCAAACTCTGGTAACTAGTAAAGTCAATTGGGAAATAAAAAGTTTTGTCAGACTTTGTATTATATGCAATATATGTTTCTGTATGCTCTATGTATGAGTGTGTTTTTTTGCATTATAGAAATGGCAGTTATTTGGAAGGTTTCATGCAAATTTTATTATTATGATTATTGGGTGCATTTGTAACGTTTTGTATGATTCACTCTGAAGCACAATGCCCTTGTCAGTCAAAGAATGACTTAATGAAAACAATACCGTAAAGCCCTCATAGATGCATTGTTTGTTTGTGTGTAAGATTGTTCTGAAGAATTCAGAGTTCATTGTTTAGTGCGTGGCTGCATGCAATTCAGTAAACCGAATGGGCTCCTTTGTGAGCCATTGTCAGATTGTTTCCTTCCTGTTAATGGTAAAATCAACTGTTTGTAGAGTCCCTGCCCTCTCTTTGATGTGGTCTATGACCAGAATGAGGCAGAATAATTGGCTGATGAGACATTGTTTAGGCTCTTTCAGAGAAATCGTGTCTTTGATCTACTTTCGGACATTTTGACTAAACGTTTGCATTGAATTTTGTTGTCGTTTTGTTTTCTGTCATTAATTGTTTATTTTCCCCGGTGTTGATGGGTACACAAAGACATATTCTCTGTTCAAGAAACGTTGTCTTTTTTTGTTTGCTATTATTATGCTTATTATTGGTGTAATTGAATCAAATAAACCCCAGACTCCAATGGCGATTTTCCACTGCACGGCACGGCTCACTTAAACAGTACCACCTTGGTTGAGGTTTCCAAGCAAGCCGTGCCGATTAGGGCTGCACGATTAATCGAATGCGACTGTCATGCGCATTTTGATAGTAATGCCGGTTCTGTAATCAGCAGTAAATCATCATCACATGTTTTCAGATGGAGCAGCATTTACTACACATAGCCGTAGTTCACTGACAAGTTATGCAAAAAAAAATGTATAAGACGATTTTTATTACGCGATTATGAAATCGAAGAAATCGTTCGCGATAATGACAGCTGCTTGCATAGCTTCTCAGATCTCGATTCCATTTCGATTTATCGTGCAGCCCTAGTGCCGATACTAAAATGTGACGTGTAAACAGATCACTGCACTGATCACTGTTTGGACTTTGATTCTGACGGCACCCATTCACTGCAGAGGATCCATTGCTGAGCAAGTGATGTAATGATGCAA